AGACCTATCACTTTTAATAAACTCTCCAGTATATGGTGCTCTAGATAACGTATATGTCAAATCAGCCAATCGTGTGTCAAGATCAGTGACCAACAAGTGTTCTTCACCAATGGCTGTGGTACCACCTTGACTGACTGTAGCAATGGGATGTCTGTTTGCGAATATTGGTGCGGCAGTGTTGGTTGGAATGAGGCGAATTGTAAATGGTTGTGGAGATAAAACATTCCCTGAGCTGTCAGAAACTGTAAAAGAAAAAAAAAAGGTGTGATGCAATTCCCGGTTGCATGTAATATATTTTTCACACCCATGAAATTTGAATAGTTCTCCAATTTGTTTTTACAAACTGTTATAAAATACTTCTTACAGGCTCACAGGGTTTTGTCGCAATAAAATTATATTAGGTCTGAACAGAATAAGTTAATTTGTTTTCTGTAATTCAAGTCACATATCTGACCAGAAAAAATCTGCAACTTTGCCATCAGATTATTCTGTTATCAGGTAAGCTACAATAAAATTCGAACATGTTCAATTACATCATCAGATCAAATCTGAATGTTGTTTGTTCACAGATAAATCTAATGAGATGAATACAATCAATATGTAAACAAACTTTCACTCATACAACAACACAAGAAACCAATTACCAGTGAAATAAAATGTAAACTCGACTTGTTTTTGTCCCACATCAAAGTCAGGCGGTCTGTAGACAATTTTTTGTGCGTTGACATCGGCTTGTGTGAATTGCGTAACAGGTAGGTGCGGTCTATCTATGTGTTCGATGCTTCCTTGCTCCGAACGCAGTGGTGTTGTGATATCATACAGTAGATCAGAGTCAGGACTGTCTGGATCATAGAAGGCAAGGTGGTTGTGTCCAAGGGGAATCAATTCACCTTCAAAAACCTACAATCAATCAAAATAATTTCAAATCTAGAAAATATTACAACTGTAGATGAAGGCATTATCAGTCATTAGTTTAGTTCACAAATCTAGATAATTTTAATAGGTCACTGTGACCTATAGTGAAATTATTACTCTAACAAATCTCACAGAAACTAGTTTACAGTACTTTATTAAAAACATTTTTGTTTTATTGGGATGAAAAGTATAATTTACAACAATTATAGTTTGATACATTTTAATTTTCAACAATCCTAATAATCGATAATTTAATATAAGAGTATTAGTAGCACTTCCACTTATGTAAATTATCGAGGTGTTTCTACTGCCATGTTTTAATAATACAACATATGTGATTTTTGGTTTATATGATCTTCTATTGGACTTCTATGTTCTTCTAATAGAGCAAATACAGTATTACACAAATATCGACTCACGGTTGCTCCAAGAGGAAGTGGTACTCCAGCTGCTAACTGGGGTGGCTCATCATCACGTGGCATAATAGCAATATTGAAAGCTTGATCACTTAATACATTAGGTGGATTTCCACCATCAGATATCTGGAGGACAAAAATAACAGTTAGTAAAGATATCCTAACATCCTACTAATAAATTATACATCCATGAAAAAAAACATTTAAACAAAATGGAAGATTTATGCCAAGTCCATTTCAAGTATGAATAAGCATGATATGGTGAATACCCCCCTCCATTCAAACTTCAGCAAATCCCAAAACATTGTGAGTGTGAGAGAGCCTCAACACCAGTTTCTATCGTTCAAATAGCAACGGTATTGCATTCCATCATGTCACTACGGTTACATAGGTCAAGAGAACAATAGAAATGATGACATGAGAGAATAAATTAGTCTCAAATCTCATAGTTCTCACACTCTCATTTACCCCTGGTACATTACCTCAAACATGAAATAGTCACTCTTTGCTTCGTCATTTTGATGTTTGTACCATAAATGGCCGTCATTCACATCCTTTTGACGGAAGATAGCAGCTTTAGTCTCCATTACACCATTTCCTTTATCAATCCAACCGTTTTCAACACCAGTGGATGGAACAGGCAACACCATCATTAAATCACCTGAATTTCAAAAGAGATTTATATTCAATGGTGTGATATGTGATTTAAACTGGTGATATAAAAGATGGCAACCAGAGTTCAGTATTCAAATCACACTTCATAGTGACAGACCAGATCAGACTATTTCAGGGAATCGCTTGTTTCAATAATCATAATGCTTGAAATCTGTCTAAACTGAACACCAAAGAAATTGGAAACATGTTTAGATTACAAAGGAACTGTTCATGGAGGTGTTACAGAAAAAGCTATCTCAACTAAACACCAAGGGCACTTACAAAATTGTTTCCAGAGGTACATGGTTTGTAGACCTTACAATATAATCTGAGGAAACTAAAAACCAAATAGAATGGCAAAACTGTTCAGATATACTGTTTATAGAATGAATTAAACTGCTGTTAGTAACAAAAGTGTCAATTCACATTATTAAACTGTCTTGGATGTCCTTACCATGTTTTGGATTATTTTCTGGTGGTGTAAGTTGGTAAACTAAGTCATCATCGGTTGAATCAACATCCGTCGCTGATAACAGATTACTAGTGATCTGAGTTGACCCACCATCTTCTACTCTAGCCTGCACATTATTCACTAAAATTGGACCTTTGTTATCCTACAACACACAATAATAAATGTCAGACTAAGAAAAGAAACATGTGAGAAGCGATGAGTTAGTCAAACATTTCACTAAATGGTTAGGGAACATTTTCTTTACCCTTTTGAATGCCAGCCTTTTCCTGCCAAAAGATGGATACAATATTTTGCCTATTTTCCTAAAACTTTTTTGGTTTGTAACAAATTAATATTTCCCATTGGCTAAGATTTTTTAACGAAATATTTGCAAATACAAAGTTATTTTAAAGAGAAACAGACTATTGTTGAAGATTTTTTTTTTGTCAAACACAGGCCAGATACCAATGTGGCTGCATGCTGGCACTCCTTAATAAATGTTTAGCTAAAATATTTGACACCACATAAATTGTGTGGGTTTAATCAATTTGTCAACAGAGGGCACAATGCGGAGGCAAAATAAGTGGGAAAATATGATCAGACTGCATTTTTTGGTGGAGCAAAAGCTGCAGAAATAATATTTTTATTTAGACATTATGATGTGGAGACCGGACAAGAGAAATCAGGTTGAAATCTAGAAACTTAAGATTATCGGTTTCCTTTGGGCATCACAAAATTAATTGAGAGTAACTACAAGACTTACTTGAGGCTGAATGTGAATTTCAAACATGAAATTAATGACGTTGTTCCCATCAGATACTTGTATAACTAAGACATCATGTTGTGTTTCACTTCCATCGTGAACGTATCTCAACAAACCTCTCTGTAGATCATTCAAATCGAAGGATGTCACTTGCGTTCTTCCGGGAAAACGAATCAGTGACCCGTGATTGGGCCCTTCCAGTACCGTGAGAATTACAGATTCCGGGTTGTCTTGATCCTGTATGCGTATGTTCCGCTGTGTGATTTCAGCCATGCTGCTTTCGCTAACAACCAGCGGCTGGTTGTACTGTACCGATGGTGGCGAATTTGAAATAGCGACAATATCAACATTTCGTGGAGGAGAATCATACTGTCGATCATTGACCCGTAAACTCATAGTTCCTGTCAGCGGCAATGATTTATCATGCTTATATCGTATGTTACCTTGTATTAGTTCCTCAAACGTGAATGTATCTCCACGTTGCATCTTTTTATCTTCACCGAGCACATTTTTGATTAAGTCTCCATTCGTTGGCTGAGAATCGACATAGAAGAAGAGATCCAAGTAAGCAGTGTCAGTATCATATGCTGACAAAAAAGAGGAATCCAGTAAAACTGAGCCACCAATAGGACTGGTCAGTGTACCATTTACATACAGGTCAGGTGGGTAGATGTTAACTATAAGAAAAGTTTATGCATTATTGTAATGTTTAAATAACCTAGTCACATTGTATAACAGCAAAAGCCATCTAAGATTCACAAACAGCATGAATGAGGCTCTATATTATGATATGCTGATGTAAACATTGTATTTTTTAATGAATCCAACAAAAGAAAGTTTAAATGATAGCAAAATATTATTTTCTTATGATACAAAGCCAAACCATAAACTTTGAACAATTGAATCTAAAAAAATGTATCAATATTGAACAAAAATTAGGGTTTTATGCTCTATAAGCCATTCAACACCAATTTGTTAGCTTTCACAAAATAAAACTGCATTTTTTTTTTCATTTGGAGAAAAAAAATCAAAAAAATTTGCAAAAATGATTGTGTTCAAATGGGTTAAGAGAATTCTAAAATAAAGACTCCCCTCACAAAGACAGAGAGAAAATGATGTCTAACTTTCACCATTTTGTAATTATTGAATTAAAATGAGTACCTTCACATGAGCTTGTTTCCGTATTCTCATAGAAACCATCGCCGCAATGTGTCAAACAGACCCAGTTTCTCAGGAAGCTACCAGCCATACACGTGACACATCTTATAGAACTTGAACACTCTATGCAAAAATCTGGACAAGCTAGAAAATAAATAAAATTACTTTGTGAGACAGAATGTTGTCATTTTCCGCAATCTTCTCATCTCTATTATCGTGCGAGTTACTGAGTATGTATAAATGTGTGCCTTCTATGGTAATTTCACATCACAATATTTTGTCAATTTCCAAATGCTATGTTAACTCTGATTGGTACAACAGGCACATCTCAGGTCATACTAAGGTCAAATACACTCTCGGAATGATGTATAGTTTCATGAGGGGGGGGGGGGTATATATTTACATTCGGTTCTTGAAACCTCCGGTTCTTGAGATCTTGGATTTGGGCAATGAAATTTTACTGACTTTAATCAAATTTAGTTCATACAGCACCATCAGAATTACCAAACATTGTACTAGACTAGTAGATTTAATACAACAAATGTGAATTCTTCCATTCTGATAAACACAACTTAACATTATGAAATAATGAATAATACATTGTAAATAATTGATGATGTTAAATTATATCAAACAAAATATAAATACAATG